GAGTAAAGGAGTGGCTCCCTCCAGTCTATCCTCTCCCGTGATGTCCGATCGTGTGCCATTTAATTACATTAAAACTGTTCAGGTCGAAAACCCGAAGCCCCCAGCGAAGAAACCCTTACCCTTCCCACCGCGCAAGCTGTCTATCGTCTGCAGTCTCAGAACAGCGAGTCGTTGACCTCACAGACTGTTCCGTCCGCCGGCAAAGTGCCGAGGTTGAAGTACTCGGACATGATCTTGGTAGTGCAGTTGGAAAGCTGGGAAGGCGTAGCGTGCTATAACCATGAGTGTTAGCCATCAGCCGTGACAAGTCTAGTGTCGAGTCAGAAGTGAACTTACCCCGAAGCCATGTTGCTCCACAACCACGCTCCCCTCGAAGCCGAGACTCATATTCTTCGCGCTGGCCAGCGGCGTGGCCGGGTCGTAGGTGTTGCCAAAGAACAGGATGGGGTTCTTGGTCTTGATGCCCTCCCAGGGGCCGCCGTAGCGCTCCTTGGCCGCCCACGGCCAGGTGGCGCATTGGGCGGCGACGCCCGCGAGCAGGGGCGCGAACAGCTCGCTCGTCGCCAGCATGTGCTCCACATCCGGGAGAATGCCCTCCACCGAGTCGACGCGGGGGAAGGTGTCGGAGCACTTGATGCCGCTGATCGCGTCACTCTCGACAGCGATGCCCCCGGCCAGGCCGTCGTAGTAGGCCACCACCTCGGTCAGGTTGGTGCCGGTTATCAGGTTGGCTAGGTGGTTAGTTGCGGTGGCGATACCGCTGGTGTACTTGGTCACGACGAAGATCATCTCTTTGACCAGGCGCTCGGTGAGGACGCTGGTGCCCACGGCGACGGGCTCCTTGCCGTACTTCTCCGCCACACCGAAGAGGGTTGCTTCAAGGTCGGCGGCGGTGGAGTTGATGGAGGCGAGAGGGCACTTGGCGGGTCCGGCTTCGATGCAGGCGGATAGAATGGCGCGGAAACCGGAGTCAGCCGTGAGGAACTGGTCGATGTCGATGCCGAAGTGATGGTAGTAGTTGTGGGCGTTCACAACGCCATCCAGAACAAGACGATCCATGCGATCGGGGAACATGGCCGCGACGGTCATGCCCAGGACGGTGCCGTAAGACAAACCTGAAAACCTTGGTTTAGTGAACACGTTGGGGCGGTGGTAGTGAACAGCTGAACTCACCCCAGAATCTCAACAGGCCGTCTTCCCCAAGGGCATCCACAACGCTCATCAGATCCCTAGCCACGAACGCGGTGCCGATGAACTCGGGGTTGTGGTTCCCCGCATATTTCTTGCGGCAGATATTAGCCGTGGCCTGGGCACCAGCAAAGGTCTCGGCCAGGGCGGAATCGTGAGCGTCAACGGGCAAATAGGGAAACTTAAACGAGGCTACCAGCCTCTCCGTCGGAGTATCGAAGCACGAAAAGGTGATGGTCTTTTCAGTGCCCCTGAGCCAAACATTAGCAAAGGTGAAGCTGGTTAGGATGGAGGAGGGAAGAACTACCGAGGGTCGAAGGCAATCAGATCATGCTGGCCGCCGGTCATCCTAGATGACGGTTAGCTTATTACTGTTGCGGGAACTAAAGCATAGCGGCGCGGTACATACATGTGGAACACGTCGGCGCCGCTGTTCAGCGAGGAAACCGCGCCATAGCCCGGGCCGCCAAAGTTGAATAGGATGCTCTTCTTGACGGTCGTGGTGTTGCTGCGCGAGGGGCTCTTGATCAGGGAGAGCGCGAGGGTTTCACTTGATGCAGGATCGGTGTAGTCGAGGGGAACATCAAGCGTAGCGCATTCGATGGGGCCCGATGTGGCGCTCTCAAAATCGCATGGTCCCCAGTTGATACCGGAGGTGTTCTTGTCACGGCCGTACAAAGGTATGGCCAGGGCGCTCGAGGCCAATGCAAGCCCCGTAAAGAGGCCGGTGAGTGTCATGGTGATGGATGATGGCGATGCTTGGAAAGCTTCGTGTTTTCGAATTCAGGTAGTTGCCAGTGGAGGCTGGATGGAGATGGAGATGGATGTGAAGGCTGTTGTCCGACATCTCGAAGGGCTCATCGCCTTTATAGAGGCCATGGATACAGGTAGTGTCTCTCAAGCTGCTTCTCTTGCAGGCCAGCGCTATTCATTGCTCTAGATGGAAACCGCCTGGCCAAGTAAAAACACAGCCTGGCGTCAGCCCCAAGTGACGTCTCTCCACCCGTCAGCCCAAGCCCTGGAGAATGATTTGTGGCTACTACCCAATCACAAATCAAGGCGTGGCCGGGGCCGGGTAGGGTAGGATTCGCGAGCGCCCGATTTGACCGAAAAGGGAGATTCGATGTCCCAGGTACAATGGCTTACCAAATCCGGACGAAGCAGGGTCACTGCGAAGGATTTTGTTTGGATGAAAATCATGAACAACTTCGGCATTGCATGGACCCGAGCTCCCAGTGGCAAGATTAGCAGTGGTTCGTAAACCGGGAGCCTGGGACCATCAACGGTTTAACTGGACTCCTGGAGCGATCATTGCCTTCTTCAGATAATGAGGACGCACACGTGGAAGCGAGATACAGGCAAGACAAGGGCAAAAAGCCGACCGTTCATTTCGTCATTGAGCTTCTTGCAAGCTTTGTCTTGATATGGCCATCATTCAGTTACAAGACGAGGAGGCCGCCTTGTAGACACAAAGTTCAGTAGTGCAACGTTTATACGCTTGGCGTCGAGAACCAGGTTCAGCCCTCACGCGGAACGGGCATCGACGCATCGTGGTTTTAAAGTTTAGTAGACGGCATGGCCCGGGGGCGCAAACTGAATCTTATGATGCGACCGGTCTCTGATCTCAGCCCCTTGCGGAGTCTGGTCCGGACAAACAAGCAGGCAGCCCCTTTATTGGCTCGAGACGCCGCCCCCAAGTGGGTAAGTGCCCGGGTTACGCTTCCGGACGACGGCTTTGTGAGGACCGCAGGCAAAATGCACGGAGAGGAGAATTGGCCCCTTTACGACAAAGAAGTAATCATGCTTTTGAAGTGGCTCTCATCCCCAGACACCATGTCGACCAGACTCTGTCACAACTCAGCTTCTGTCACAACTGAGTTTCCGTCTACCTCCATCTAAAACCCCTTGCAGATACCATGTCGATCTCATCGCCCCCAGAGTTCAGATATTCCCATCACGGGCTCGTCTTCTATCCGCTGGAAGTTCCCGAAATCCCTGAACGCCTCAACCTGGCCAACGACAAGGACAATGAGTCGTCTCGATACCTGCAAGCGCGAGCTCAAGGTTTTGTCCTTCTCCATTGGATCCAGCCCCCAGATATCAACGTTCCCAATCTCGCCAGCGTGGGAATTTTCGCCAGTGTCGACTATCCGCAAGAGCTGGTCATAATCAAGAAGTTACCCGAGATAAGCAGACGAGTCCAGGCCTCGAACAGGGACTACCCGATGCCGGCGGAGGTTGAGCAAAGCTCGCTGAGCGATAGGGATGCTGCTGTGCGGCGGCAGCTGCCCCTGTATCATGAAAACATGGGGTTGACGCCGTTCCCCTAGCTGCATGCGTTCCAGGTCCACAAACGGACCATTAGGTTCCAAATGAAGACTCCGAACGAAGACGTGACGCTCTTTTACAAGTACTACAACGGGGGAACGCTGAGGAGCTTCATCAAGAAATATGCCGATGCCGGCAGGCGGGTGCCAGAGGGCTTCATATGGCACGTCATTGCCCAGCTCTGCCGTGCCGTCTCGTGGCTACACACGGGGCACATTCCTTCGCGGGACGATAACCTCGGGCGCGGAAACCCATCGAACCCGCCGATGACGGCTCCGAAGAATGGGAGCCCATCTGCCACCAGGACCTTCACGTCGACAACATCCTCTTGCACTTCCCAACCGACGAGGAGAAGGAGGCCGACCCCCGGCTGGAGCAGTTCGACGAGTACCTGCCGCAGGTCATCATCACCGACTTTGGCCTCTCGTTCCAGGCCAAAAACGACCGCTCAAATGAGCTTGCCACCGATCTCAACCCGGATCTACCGGAGCCTACGGCTTGGAAAGACAAGGCCTTCATCGGGGAGGCCATCTTGCGTCTGCTCATCCCTGACTATAGCCCAGCAGACAGTGATATCCAGATCTTCCATCCTTATGGTGGTTTTTTGGAGCCGGGCTTTTGTGGTACGCACCCGGAGGAGCAGATGACGGATCACTACAGCGAGGAGCTAGTACAGTGCTGGAGCCAATTCGAGGCCTTAGTCCCACTGCAATTAAGGTTCGAGCATTGGCTTGACGCGTTGGGAAGGTCAGATTTGGAACAGTGGAGAACTTGGCCGCCGAATCATGTTGTGTTTGGTACCACCATCGCCCAGGCTGACCGCCACGTCGATGCCTACATCAGCAGCAGCAATAAGGAGTCCCTCCGCTGGACGCAAACCTTCAACTCATTCATGCCCTATCACAGCGTGTTCCGCAACCCCAAGCACCATCGGCGCGATTGGGCCACAGTCGACGGCCACCTAAGCGCCATGACCAGGGAGAAGCTCGCTCACTTCCGCCCAGGCTGTGTCAAGATCCGGCAGGCCCACATCATCGGCAGGGGAAGGGTCGAAAAGGAGCTGGACGAAGTCAACCCCGAGACTCGACCACTTTGGGACGATGAGTCGACTTCAGGTGAGGAATCGTCCTCATCGGACTCCGAGGGGCCAGTGATCCAGGCGCGTCGTGCTACGACGCGTCAGCCTAGACGCCGTAAAGCGCCACGCCAGACCGAACGGTCTACGGCCCAAGGTCGGCCTACGCTCCGTGCTACGGCGCGGCAGCCGACACGCCCTGTGCAGCCGCGTACGGTGAGAGACTCGTCGCCCTCAGTCGTCGACGATTATCATCGGCGTCGGTGGATTATGAAGAGAGATTATGAAAGAAGGTGTCGGGAGAAGGGTCTTTGGTAGGCGGCGAATCATTTTGTTTTGGTGGGATGGGGCAGATGGGGATTTCAGGGGCAAAAAGAGGGGTTGGGTGGGTTAGAGATGGAAAAAGAAATGCCTACTACAGGAATCGAACCTGTGATCTTTGCATATCGTCGATAGATACAAGTGCAACGCATTAGCCACTATGCTAAGCAGGCTTCAACTTGTGATTGGCGCTCCAGAGACGCGCCCTGTAAGGAAGGGAACGCGGCTTCCACAGCAGAAACCTGACATTCTTTAACGACCATCTCGAAGTCCCGGAGTTTCCTATTGCCGCCTATTATTTGTAAGGTAATTTACCAGCCGGTCATTTGCTTAAAATCTCTGCTATATCTACGAGCATTACCAACTTGAAGTCCCCCTTAGGCAAAATGTTTCCTCACAGCAACCTCAAACGCCTCCGGCTCCCTCCCCAGAATGGCCTCCAACTCCGGTGCCACAACAGCCGTCTCGCCCGCGCGAATCGCATCCCAAGCAGTGGCCCACGTTCTCGCCATCTCCTCAGACCCAAACTTGGCCAGCACCTGCGGCAACCGCACATACTCCTCCACCGATACGGCCCGGATCCGAATGTCCCTCCCCGCAATCTCGCTCAGCACCCGCACCGTCTCAGCCAGCGACCATACCCGCGGCCCGGTGAGCAGCACGGTGCGGTTGACGAACAGAAACTCGCCTTCCTTTTCCCCTTTTCCTTCAATGCTAGCGCGATCATGATAAGCCGCAATCAACCTCGCCGACGCCTCGCCCAGCTCGTCGCGCTTGACCCAGGCGACGCCGGGCCCGGACCCGTCGTGGGGGATGAGGATCTCGCTGCCGCCGGTGCTACTGCTGATGCTGCTCTGCGCGGCCTGGCGCGGGTCGAAAAAGGCCGTGTAGATGGGCGTGGATTCCGCGTACAGTCCCTCGCGGATCGCGGTGTAGGTGAAGGAGGAACCGGGCTCCGCGGCGAGCCGGGCGAGGTGGCGCTCCGTGTCGAGGTGCGCTTGCATCACCTCGGCGAGAGAGGTGGGTTGGTGGTCGCCTGCGAAACCGAGGGAGCTGTAGAAGATGTGGCCGACGCCGGCTTTTTTGGCGGCGTCTACCGCGGGGAGCTGGACCTGTTTGGTTTGCGCGGGGTGTCAGTTCACTGATGGTGGCTAAACTTGTGAAGGAAAAAGAGGCAAGGTTGCGGACCTTGGTTCGGTAGTCGTGGACGTGGCTGGGGTACGAGATGAGGAATAAGACATCGATGCCGGAGAAGGCGGTCTCGAGTTCGGAGAATGTGCTCTCGTATGAGGCTTTGCGCACGCGTACTCCGGCGTCGATGTAGGGCTGGGGTACATTTTCGGGATGCCGGTTGATGAGAACGACTTGGTCATTTGGCACAAGTTTCAGGAGGTGAGTGTAGGTGCTCGTTCCGAGACCCCCCGAAGCCGGGAAGATGCCGATTGTCATGGTGGGGTTGGGAGTTTCGAGATAGCAGTAAAGGTTTTACGCAGACGCGTTGTAATAAGGAATATAGTATGATACCTAGGTATTTGAGCTGAATGTAGGTCATGGTACCTATTTAGGGAGATTTTGCCGCTTAGAAATGCCGTCACAAGCTCCACTCATCGCCCCGTCTTGGCACTAAAGCTGTACGATTTGTAACATCGTTTCCGAGTTACCACCGAAGTTTCACGGAATAACGTCCCCTCCTCTGCCCTGCCCGCTCATAGGTATCTGCTTTTGGTGGCCATTGATAACGCTTCGCGGCTCCCAACACCAACTCACTGCAAACGTCAAATGACATCACGTTCCACTGTCTTACAGTCGAAAGGAAAGGTGTGGCTCGTCTGACCTACGAAGCAAAATCCTTGATTGCCTTAGCCAGCTACATCTTCTTCGCCGCCATCGGAAGCCTAGTTGCTGTGATTCTTTTTCTTCCGTTTCCTATTTTCGTTCATGGGTCACGGTTCAACTCGATGTGATGATTGTTCTTTCCGCCGATGCCAAGCCCGGAACCGCCGGCCAAAAGCACGGCCCCACATGTCCGACGCGGCCCAGGAACCCCCGGATGTCAAAAACGTGGCTCGTCGGGCTTCATTGATAAATAGAACCTGGATATATGTATGGACTGTCTCTCCAGCGCCGTATACCCCATTTCCCCGTCAAGTCCCCCACTCGCGCAATGGTAGGTAGGCATGTATGATGTATCCCAACATAGCACTTTTCAACCTATGTCAGGCTTGGTTATAGAGGGTCCTACAATCACAATATCGATACGACAACGCGCATACCTCTCTCGGCAGATAGCTACGGTCACGATTATCGCAAAATAGAGCGACTACTACGACTGCTGAAAAAAAAAAAAGAAAAAAGAAACGGAATTGACTACTTACTCCTAAACGCCTGAGGGCCAGAATCCCTGACTAAATACACCGGTCACAAGATACGGAACACAGCGGAAAACAGAAAGACAACAAGCCCACCTCCCTCTAGTCAGTGAGCTCGTGATCCACGCAACGGCAACGGACTTGATGTTGGAACCGCTCAAGGAACGTTAACCGCCGTTACAGTACCAAGTTAGGGATTGGCATCGCCCTCACGGCGGCGGCGCTGGCCGGCAGTGGGAGCGGTGGTGTTGGTGTTGCTGGAGCTGGCCGCCGCGGGGCGTTCGGGCAGACGCGTCGTGCTGCCGCCGGTCCGGGTGGTGGCGGGCGGTCGGGGGGGAGCACCAGCAGAAGCGGGGGTGCCGGCCGCGGTCGGTCGCACGGTCGACGAGCTCTGCCCTCCGCCTCCTCTTCCGCTTACTCCGCCTCTTGTGCTTGCTCCTCCTCTTGAGCTTGCTCCTCCTCTTCCTTGGGCCATGAGTGTTGTTCCCTGCTGTGCTTCCGGGGCAGGGTGTCTAACCGTGGGAGCCAGTGCGTATGAGGGGAGTACCAGCGCTTCGGGAAGAGGTAGCTCCGCATTGTACTTGTAGGGGATCTGGTTCGGTGGGGTAAGTCCCTTACGGAAGGCCTCCTCTCTTATGTTGATCTGCGGCTCTGTGAAACGTTTCTTGACACCGCAGCGGTAGACTTCCCGGCACCATTTGAGCCAGTGAACGAATCGAGTACCGTGGCATGTTTCGGGAAGCTTTTTGATACAGCCAGCAAGCTCCCTGATTAATTCTTCTTCGTCTGGGTGGTCGTTCCGACTACTAGCCCTATCAAAATCGTATCGGAGAGCACTGATATGAAGCGTAACAGCTAGGAGTATACCACGGATGGCGCTCATAGCCGAGGCAACGCCGGCCTGGCGACGGAACTCGATTGTTCCTCTCTCATTGACCGGGCAAAAGTTGTGCGAGAGGTTTGCTGTCCAGCCCCCCCGAGTCTCTACCGCCCATCAAGACATCGAGAAGTTTGTGTGGAGTAGTAGCGGCCCCGTCGAGCTTCTTAAACACCACGCTCTAGTCCTCGATAGGGACTAGACCATATTCGGGGGACCCGAAGACGGTATGGTTTGGCATAGCGTATTCATTCCAACCACGGTTGCCCTGGACAAGCCCCGACAGTGTATGCTCCCAGAAGTAGGCCCCTTTCGCTGTCCTGAGAAGCTGATCGAGCGTATAGCGGCTGGTTGCTCCGGGCGATACGTGTACGTGGAAGCCGCAGTAGTCTTTAGTCCAGAAGTCGAACTTCTTACCAAGTTCTTCAAAGACCATATTGATCTCCAGTTGCCACTGCTTCGATACCGACATAGGTGGTGTAACGATCTCGATCCCCCCTGTTTTACTATTATTAGTATATTGAAAGGAAAAAAGGAAGTAGTAAGGATGGCCCTTTACATACACCACTTTCTTGGTTCAGTTCCCGGGCCGAGTTGGAACCACTGCGAGTCCTCTTTCAAGGTGTCGTCCAAAGTACACACCCATCCGTTATCTTCGCCCAAAACGCTATCGATAGTGCCTTTAACAGCCCGAGTAACTTGGCGCCGATGTTCCGATTTTGCTCTAGGCTCGACGTCGTTTGAGAGGTCAAGGTCCCAACCCCGCCAATAATCCGGTATAGAAGCCTGAGCTCTTTGCTTTTCTCTTAGTGAAGCTTCCACATTGGGCTTGATCTTGATATAAACCTCGATCTCAGCGCTAAAGATAGGCGGCCGAGTTCTGGCGGTTCCGGTAGTTCCAGTGGCGTTTCCGGTGTTTCCAGTGTTTCCAGTATTTCTGGCGTTTCCGGTGGTTCCGGTATTTCCAGTGGCGTTTCCGGTGTTTCCAGCGTTTCCGGAGTTCCCGGCATTTCCGGGATTTCTGGTGCTCATTGTCGTAGGTTATTAGGTTGGTTGTATAAGTTGTTGAAGGTGTTGAAATTGTTGAGGTTGTTGATGGTGTCGAAAGCGTTATATCGCCTGGAGCTGTCTATCCCTTTATGATAGTAACCAGTTATACACGCTCGATGCCTGTTTTCTTACCATCAAGGCGAGCTAGTTCCACAATCCATATCCTCTACTAGGTACTGAAGGCGTGCATCCATCTCATCAACGCTGAAACCCTTCTGGCCCTCGGACTCAAAAGTGAAACTAGAGTCCCGGAGGCAACAGGACGCGGTAAAACAAGAGTGAATTGGTACACGTCCCTCATTCATTGTGCGTAAAGCAAAAGCGGCCGCCTTCCCGGGAACCACCAGCCCGGTTAGCCTAACCCAGGCCTCCTTGTTGCCTGGAAAAGCCGCTAGGGCGGAGTGCATCATATGTGCCTAGGGAAACGAAAGTGTGCAGATTAAGTTCAGCTTGCTCAATCAAACTGCCAAGATTGGGGAAACAGGGGTGCCTAGCGCTCGACGTGGCCTTGGGTGTGAGCTAGGCAACAGTGTCGCAGACTATTAGTCTGGCGGCAGAGTCGCACAACAGGGGCCGCAACTAGGTAGGTACTTGAGGGGAGGCGGACAAGAAAGCTACAGGTACCTACGCACAATGAAAAACGGACCATTGAATCGAGGAATGATCCAAAGATACTGAGGTGGATCGGCTGGTTATCTCCGGTGTTGTAAACTCTTTCTTTTTTCTTTTTCTTTCTTTTTCTTTTCCCTTTCCGTAAGAGCCGGATAAGAGACAAAGGACGTAGCAAGGGACGAGGAAAAACAGAATTTGACACGGCCTCTAATCGACAACTTGCTCACCAGCGGGTCTAGCTGTACTTGGTGACTAAATAGAGCAG